GGTACATATACACCATGGAATATTATGCAGCCATCAAAAATGATGAGTTCGTGTCCTTTGTAGGGACATGGATGAACCTGGAAACCATCATTCTCAGCAAACTGACACCAGAGCAGAAAATCAAACACCGCATGTTCTCACTCATAGGCGGGTGTTGAACAATGAGAACACAGGGAGGGGAGCACTACACACTGGGGTCTGTTGGGGGGAAATGGGGGAGGGGGGTGGGGAAGTGGGGAGATATAGCATGGGGGGAAATGCCAGATATAGGTGAAGGAGAGGAAGGCAGCAAATCACACTGCCATGTGTGTACCTATGCAACAGTATTGCATGTTCTTCACAGGTACCCCCAAACCTAAAATGAAATTAAAAAAAAGTATTATCATATATATATATATATATATATATATATATATAGAGAGAGAGAGAGAGAGAGAGAGTTCATATAATCATCTAAGTTTTGGAAAAATTGGGACACTTTGGATGGCGAAAAGGGATGTCTTTTAATAGTTGTGCTGATACAACAGGCATAATCTGAGAACATCTAGTAAATCAGGTTGTGTTGTCATTCTACATATAGTAACACCATATTTTCTTTCTTAGTCTATAATTGGTCACTGTATCAGGTTAATGAGATAAATAGCACCAAAAGGAGATATATTCTCATTTAAACAGTTTTTGGCACATATTAAAAACTGAGTAAATGCTTATTCAATAAATAAGAATAATTATGCCTGCAATCCCAGCACTTTGAGAGGCCAAGGAGGGCGGATCACCTGAGCTCAGGAGTTCGGGACCATCCTGGGCAACATGGTGAAACCCTGTCTCTACTAAAATACAAAAAATTAGCTGGTTTGGTGCTGTGTGCCTGTAGTCCCAGCTACTTGGGAGGCTGAGGCACCAGAATCGCTTGAGCCTAGGACACGGAGTTTGCAGTGGGCTGAGATCATGCCACTGCACTCCAGCTTGAGCTACAGAGTGAGACTCCATCTCAAAAAAAATATATATATATATATTTCAGTACAATAAAGTATGTGTCATTTCTGAATAGTGGTTAGATATTAATAAATAAAATGTATTGCTACTCCTGTTTTAACTAGGTAAATAATTTTAACCAACTCGCTATACTTAGGAATCCGGCTACGTGTCACATCATTTCTTCTCTTAAATTCTTTTTTAGCCTTAGTAAACAAGCTAATGTTGAGAAGAAATGATTGAAAGTTGGAAATTACATGAAAAATGGTCTGAATAGTTAACAGCTAGAATAACACTCCCAGTAGAGATGCCAATATCACTTGCCTCTCAAGTTGAAATTTAGAAAACCATAGTCAACAAGCTAGCATATTTCATGGAACACAAATGTCATCAATTATAGGCTAAAACCTATTTAAGCAACACTAGGAAAGAAAAAATGCTGACTAGTATACAGTAATGTTTTTATATGATTTGTAAATTTTATTCTATTGAAAGAATTTTTAGTTGTTAAAATTACTGTGATAGTTTCTAAGGTTCTGTATCATTTTTATGTCTGCACAAAGAAGAAAATACGAGCAAGATAAATTGGTGCATTTATTCCTAGGTTGTCTTTGTATCCAACACTAATTTTTCTGAATCTATTTTTGATGGAAAATTATCCCTAAATTACAAAAGATAACATTGGTCACTGTACCATCAAGAGTTAGTAATACAATATTTCCTAAGAGTACTCTTCTCTGGTCTCCAACATTTTCTTCCAAGCCACCAATAACTATTCTGTACATTATTGTCTTTTTTTTTCTTGAGACAGAGTCTTGCTCTGACATCCAGCCTGGAGTACAGTGGCACGATCCTGGCTCACTGCAACCTCTGCCTCCCGTGTTCCAGCAATTCTCCTGCCTCAGTCTCAGGAGTAGCTGGGACTACATGCACACGTTACTACGTCCGGCTAATTTTTGTATTTTTTAGTGGAAACAGGGTTTCATCATATTGGCCGTGCTGGTCTCTATGGTCTGTAACTCCTGACCTCGTGATTCACCCCACCTCAGCCTCCCAAAGCCTTGGGATTACAGGCTTGAGCCACCGTGCCTGGTCTTCTGTACATTTGTAATGCTGGTGTATTTATGATCTATTGAAGATATCAGTTGAAGCTTCTCATACCAGGGTTCTCATTCCTTCTTACGTAGACTTTAAATAGTTTGTTGACTGATATAATGAGACTCCAATTTCCCAATGATGTCACCAAGTACAACCACCAAGTTATTACACATGTAGGGAATGGCAAAAAGTCCAAGACAACTACAGCAGTGATTTTTCATCTATTTTAAAAGATGTCTAAATTTCAGAGATATTTAAATATTAAATGTTCATGTTGGCAAATGTACCTACATACATTAATATACGAGATATATATACATATACAAATACACATGCATACTTTTTACATTTTCCCTTAATGCAATTATATGTACAGTAAATGAAGTAAGACACTGTAAATCTCTGCAGTTATATTTGTCTTCAATACCAGAAAAGCTCTAAATCACTGTATAGGTATGAATGATTGGTTTCAAAAGTAGGATATCTGTTGATTAACTTCAAATTCATGTGTATATCTAAAAATAAATATTTAGCGGGGAAAAGCACCCTTAAAATTTCCCTAAAATATATTTAAAAGCATGTTACATTTTAGATTATCCAGAGAAAAGCTCAGGTATTGTGTTACTTGTTTAGTTATGTGTCATAATAAAACTGATTTTAATATAATCTTATTGCAAAAAGAAAAAATATCCCATTTTGCTGCAATGGCTTTCTATTTCCTATCTATTTGGCCACATGAAACTTGGGTCCCTGTAAATGCAGGATAATACCTAATCCTCTTTGGTGTTTAGCTTCACTTAATCCTTTCTGGTACTTATCCTATTAACATTTTTTTCTCTTGTATTTAAATGCCAGTGCAGAGCTCTCAAATTACTTGCATTTATTTCTGTGCTTCTGAATTTGCCAGTTAGACAAAGTACCTCCAGAAATATTCGACTAAATATACGCATTTATCTGAGTCTATATTCATTTTCAAGTGCTTATTCTACTTTAATGACTTTTAGCTTGGATATTTTTCAGCTACTGGTTTACGTTTACCATTATTTTCTAATTGTAAAATTCATCTGCAAGGTAACGTAAGCTTTTTAACTGGAGTTTCAAAAATTTTTTTATAAAACTTTTGCATACTTTTCAATTTTAGTTAAAATCCCACTTGAGGTACATGAATACTTAAAACATATTACTGTACATATATAACATCAAATAATGCACACAAAAAATGTTATCTTTTGAAAAACTGTATTACACTTTTATACTGTTACTGGAAGTGTAAATTAGTTCAACCATTTTGGAAGACAGTGTGGTACTTCCTCAAGGACCTAGAAAAAGAAATTCCATTTGATCCAGCAATCCCATTACAGGGTAAATATCCAAAGGATTATTAATCGCTCTGTTATAAGGACACATGCACACAAATGTTCATTGTAGTACTGTTTACAATAGCAAAGACTTGGAACCACCCCAAATGCCTATCAATGATAGACTGGACAGGGAAAATGTGGCACATATACACCATGGAATACTATGCAGCCATAAAAAACAATGAGTTCGTGTCCTTTGTAGGGACATGGATGAACCTGGAAACCATCATTCTCAGCAAACTGACACAAGAACAGAAAGTCAACTGCATGTTCTCACTCATAGGTGGGTGCTGAACAATGAGAACACATGGACACAGGGAGGGGAGCATCACACACTGGGGTCTTTCGGTGGGAAGTAGGGGAGGATCAACAGGGGGTGGGGAGTTGGGGAGGGATAACATGGGGAGAAATGCCAGATATAGGTGATGGGGAAGAAGGCAGCAAACCACAATTCCATGTATGTACCTATACAACAATCCTGCAAATTCTTCCCATGTACCCCAAAACCTAAAGTGCAATAAAATATATATATTAAAAAAAAAAAAGAAAAACTGTATTAGTCAGACTAGGCTAAAGTATGCTGTACTAACTAGCAAGAACAAAATTACATTGGTTTAGGAAAATAGAAGCTTATTTCTCGCTCAATACTCATCTCCATTATAGGTTGCCGGAAGAGTCTGTTTCAGATGGAATTGTACATCCAGATCATCAAGGCAGAAGAAATAGAATGTGGCAAATCATGCCAAGTTTTTTGAACTTTGGAATTAAGTATCATATTTACTCCCCTCTCCTCTCCTTTGGCAAATCAAGTCATGCCACAGCAAATAATCAAGGTGTCTGAGGAAGTAGAGGTTTATTATGCACCACTAAAGGAAAAGGGAGTATTTGTAATTAGCCAAAATGACTACTACATTCACATTAATGAAGCTTCCTTTTAAAGGAACAGAGTAACAATAATATAAAATCAAAATGTTGAGGTACTAATATGTTTATTTTTCTTTTGCAAAAAAAAAGGAAATATGATGTATATATAATGTTATTTATATACAATGAAAAAATGATTACATATATGTATGTGTTTTGAATGCCACTGTGCATTTTTATTTAATTTGATACTTCAACAATCATGTATAAATATCTTTGTTCTATTTCAGTGTTGTGATTGAGGAAGTTTAAATCAGAAAATTTAAGTTGTTTTATAAATTACACAACTACTAAATCAACATGTTAAAAATTAGTCCCACTGATTTGTGCTTTTTCCACTACAAAATGCTGCCTCTTCGAAAAGTACCATTTAACCAGTGAGGAGACATTCATTTTTATAGGTATAGACTTTAAAATTATGCTCAATTTTCTCCTACTTACTTGCCTTCAAGTGAAATTCAAATATAAAGTATCAAAAATTGGGCACCTTCAGTATGAAGTAAAAAGTTCGAAAAATCCTCTTGCTATAGCACGACTGTAAAATGACACAATTATGAAAAATAACAACTTAAGGACTCTGGAAATGGATGAAAAGTATATGACGTGTCAAGTACATACATACATTTATGCATTGCAAAAAAGGGTTATGCTGTGAGAAATGCATCACTGGGTGATTTGATCATTGTACAGACATTATAGTGTGCCTACATGTACCTAGATGGCACAGCCTAGTACACAGCTAGGCTATATGCTACAGTCTATTGTTCCTTGGCTACAAACCTGTAGAGCGTGTGACTGTAGTGAATACTGTAGGAAGCAATAACACAATGGTAAGCTTTGTGTATTTAAATATATGTAAACATAGGAAAGCTACAGTAAAAATAGGGTAGTACAATCTCAGGAAACCACCATCATAAGTATGGTTCACTGTTAAATGAAATGTCATTATGCAGCACATGACTGTATCTTTCTATATACATTTGCAATCAATGAAGGAATTTATATATTTTTTTCCTGCTGCTTTGGTCTAACTATTCCCTCCAAAAGCAGATGTTGATAGTCTAATCCCAAGGTGATGACATTAGGAGGCAGGGCCTTTGGGAGGTGAATAGTGCATGAGGATCTAGTCCTAATGAAATACATTACTGCCCATGTTTTTAAAAGGTCTTGAAAAAGCCACTCCCCCCTACTCCTGTTATCTTCCACCACATTAAGACACAGCAAGAAAACACTATCTATGAGGAAGACGGCCCTCACCAGACACTGAATCTACGATTATCTTGATCTTGGACTTTCCAGCTTCCAGAAATGTAAAAAGTACATTTATGTTGTTTGTAAGCTACTCAGTTTACGGTGTTTGGCTATAGCAGCCTACATGAAGTAAGATACCTGCATTGAGAATTTACTGGCATTCTATTTGTTAATACAAGGTGTGCAACTGTTGTTATTTATAAATTTTTTTCAATGCATGAATTTTGCTTTGCTCCATGGCTTTATTTCCCAAGCCCATACCAAAAGTTTATAACAGGGTTTTATCTGAAGAGTTTAGGGTAACCCAAAAACTTCTGGTGATAAGTTAACTAAATAATCTTTCATAGCAGTCTTTCATTTTATTTCACTACAGGGTTAAAAATTGGTGGTTTCATTCTTTTCCCCAACATAGCAGGTGTATTACTCAAATTTTTCCGAGATACTTTATATCATAACTTCCAAAACAAGAAATAGTCTTAAACTACTATTCTTATTCGCATTTAGCCTCATATTAGAAATGAAGTTCTCAACCAGGTTTTGACCCAGGTTGGTTGTCCAGACCTTACTCTCACTCTGTCCTGAACATCTACTTTTTTCTTTCCCAACAACACTCACAGATATTTTCATATAAGGTCACTTCTAGGTGCCAAGTGGCACAACATGTTTGCAATCTGACACTTGTGCAGTTTGTATTTTTCATTTTGTTGAGTCTTAATCAAAAGAAGTTTGCAATAAATATTGTGATAAGGACTTAATTCAAGAAAAGGAGACATTTTTAAATTGCCAAACTTCTTTTTGAGGCCAAGGGGTTACTTGGAAGATTTTTTTCACATATCAATGACATGGTAGAATTGAATGCCTGTTTCCATTTTCTTCTTGTACTTATAAAAAAAATCTATCACCCATAAGTAATGTCACAGATATTTTATACTTGAGTACCTCTTAAATTCACGGATCTATGAACAAATTATATTGGTAGAATATAAAGTATGAAGGACATTTTGGCATAACTTTTTGTTTTGAGTAAAAACGTTCTAACTAGTATCCAAAGTTTTAAGGCAATGCATAATTCAAATCTTAAGTATAACCATGTGCTTTATCCCAAGTGAAAACATTAATATTGGAAGTTTGGCAGATGAAAAATCTGACTGAATGTCAAGTTCATATTAGTCTGAAGAGAAAAATAAACTGTGGGGAAAAGTGTACACAGTTTTGATAACGTATTCTGCTTCTATAAAATGATAAGTTGAACAAATAATTTTGAAAGATACTTACATCCAAAAAACAACATGATCACCTTTTTGATAGCATTTTGCAGATTTAATTTCTACATACACAATTTACTCTAATCTTTCAATGATCCCAACTGTCAATCCAGTTTAGAATTATACTGATAGAGAAGCCATAATTAAGTCTAAAACTGTATTTTAAAATATTTTCTGTAGAAGGCTTATGGTATGGCAAATATTTATTATAAATAATGACTATAAGAAGACAAAAGCATTTAAAAACATACTTTTCTAATTATTTTCTTGCTATCATTTATGAATTTTGTGAAACTACAAAATTTGATAAATCTTCTGGACCTGTGGTATGTAGCGGGTTTCTCCAGACAAAGTGGGATCAAGAGTGCAGAAAATAAATTTGGGTGCATCCAAATAGTGAAAAGAGGGGTCAAACTATCTATTTTTGCTGACAACATGATACTATACAAGAATCCTACTCTGCCAAAAGGCAACTAGATCTAAGGAATAATTTTATCAAAGGTTAAGGATACAAAATCAATGTATGAACACCAGTGAGATTTCTATACACCAACAATGTCCAGGATGAGAGACAAATTAATAACAGAATTCCATTACAATAGCCACAAAGAAAATAAAATATCTAGTAATACAACTAATTAAGGAGGTGAGAGATCTCTCTAAGGAAAACTACAAAACACTGCTGAAAGTTATCAGAAATGGCACAACTAGAAGAAAAGACATCCCATGCTCATGGATTGAAAGAATCAATAAAATTTAAATTGCTGCAATGCCCAGAGTGGTTTATACACTCAGTGATATTCCTGTTAAATCACCAATGTCATTCTTCACAGAATTAGAAAAATTTACTCTAAAATTCACATTGAGCCAAAAAATCCTGGATTAAAGAAAGCAATCCTAAGAAAAAAGAACAAAGCCTAAGGCATCATACTACACAACTTCAAACTATACTGTAAGGCTATTGTAACCAAAGCAGCACAGTACTGATACAAAAGCAGACCCTTAGACCAATGGTACAGAATAGAGGACTCAGAAATAAATCCTAATACTTAACCATCCCATCTTTGATAAGGCTGACAAAAAAAGCAATGGGGAAATGATTCCCTATTCAATACATGGTGCTGAGAAAACTGGCTTGCCAATTGTAGAGCAATAAAACTGGACTCTTACTTTTCACCATATCCAAAAATCAATTCCAGATGGATTTATAGATTTAAATAAAGATTAAACCTCAAACTATAAAAATCCCAGAAGTAAACCTAGGGAATACCCCTATTGACATCAGTCTTGGCAAATAATTTTTCACTAAGCCCCCAAAACCAATTGCAATAAAATCAAAAAATTGACAAGTGTGACATAATTAAACAAAAGAGCTCTGTACAACAAAATAAACTATCAATAGAGTAAACAGACAATCTACAGAATGGGAAAAAATATTCACAAACTATACATCTGACAAAGGTCTACTATCTGGAATCTATAAGGAACTTCATCAATAAGCAAAAAACAAATAATTTCATTAAAAATGAGCAAAAGACATGTATTACTCCATTTTCACACTGCTAATAAAGACATACCCCAGACTGGGTAAATTGCAAAAGAAAGAGGTTTAATGGACTTATAGTTCCAGGTGACTGGGACACCTCACGATCATGGCAGAAGGCAAGGAGGAACAAGTCAAATCTTACTTAGATGGTGGCAGGCAAAGAGAGAGTTTGTGCAGAGAAACTCCCGTCTTCAAAACCATCAGATCTTGTGAGCCCCATTCACTATCACAAGAACAGCACAGGAAAGACACACCCCCGTGACTCAATCATCTCCCACCAGTTACCTACCACAACATGTGAGAATTATGAGAGCTACAAGGTGAGATTTGGGTGGGGACACAGAGCCAAACCATATCACTCCATTCCTGCCCTCCTAAATCTCATATCTTCACATTTCAAAACCAATTGTAACTTCCCAACAGTCCCCCAAAGTCTCAACTCATTTCAGCATTAACTCAGCATTTGAGTTACTTCACACTTTGGAATGTGGACTTTGTCCACAGTCCAAAGTATCATCCAATACAATAGAAGTTCCTTCCACCATTGAGCCTGCAAAATCAAAAGCAAGTAAGTTACTTCCTAGAAAAATGGAGGTACATGCAGTGGGTACACACAGCCATTCCAAATGGGAGAAATCAGGCCAAACAAAGGGGCTATAGGCCCCATATAAGTTCTAAATCCAGAGGAGCAGTCAAATCTTAGAGCTCCAAAATGATCTCCTTTGACCCCATGTCTCACTTGCAGGTCACACTGATACAAGAGGTGGGTTTCCATGGTCTTGGGAAGCTCTACCACTGTGGGTTTGCAGGGTATAACCTCCTTCCTGGCTACCTTCACAGGATAGCATTGAATGTCTGCAGCTTTTCCAGGTGCACAATGCAAGTTGTCAGTGGATCTACCCTTCTGGAGTCTAGAAGACAGTGGCCCTCTTCTCACAGATCCACTAAGCAATGCCCAAGTGGGGACTCTGTGTGGGCTCCAACCCCACATTTCACTTCTGCACTGCCCTAGCAAAGGTTCTACATGAGGACCTTGCCCCTACAGCAAACTTCTGCCTGGGCATCCAGGTGTTTCCATACATCTGAAATCTAGGCAGAGGTTCCCAAACCCCAGTTCTTGACTTCTGTGCACTCACAGGCTCAACAACACATGGACGTTGCCAAGGCTTGTGGCTTGCAACTCTAAAGCCACAGTCTGAGCTCTGTGTTGGTTCCTATCAGCCATGGCTGGAGTGGCTAGAACATAGAATGCCAAGTCCCTAGGCTGTACACAGCATAAGGATCCTGGGCCTGGCCCATGAAACCACTTTTCCCTCCGAGACCTGCAGGCCTGTGATAGGAGGGGCTACTGCAAAGGTCTCTGATATGCCCTGACAACATTTTCCCCATTGTCTTGGGGATTAGCATGCAGTTCCTTGTTATTTATGCAAATTTATGCAGCCGGCTTGAATTTCTCCTCAAAAAATGGAATTTTCTTTTCTATTGCATTGTCAGGCTGCAAATTTTTCAAAGTTTTATGCTCTGTTTCTCTTTTAAAAGTGAATGCTCTAACAGAACCCAAGTTACCTCTTGAATGCTTTGCTGCTTACAGACTTATTCTACCAGTTA